AAGAGAATAATATTAATTTAAACAATCAGAATTAGAAATTAGGAGAAAATAAATAAGAAACTGTTTAATATAAATTACAAAATATTAATTTGTAATCATATTTAATAGAATTTATAAATTAATATATTTTACTATACTGTCGATCACGTTAATTAGCTTGAAAATTGGCTCGTTAACTGAATTTGATGGGCTAACAAGTTAAGCTCAAGTTAGCCTTAAACTCAACTCGTTAGCTCGTATAAGCTTGTTTTAAAAATAATTAATATTAAATATAGTAAAATATATTAAATTATAAATTTTCTCTTCTAAGTATTAAATATGATTATAAATTAATATTTAGTAAAAAATTGCTTGTCCTGAGTCTAAACCAAGTACTAAAAACTTCAGAAAATCAAACCCAAACATGGTCTGCTCCCCCCCCCCCCCCACTGTTCAAACCCTACCTGCATAAACCCATAATAGTCATTTGGTTCGGTTCAAGTCAAATTTTGATCAATGCCAAGTTAACGAATAGACATCAAGTCAAATATCAGATTAGTGGTCAAATTCGAGTTGAACAATCACATGAACCCGATATAAAAAACATGCGTGGGTCAGAATATCTAACCCGAACCTGACTCAAAAACTTATTTTATTCAACCTGAAGCCATACTTTTTCGAGTCTAGTCAGTGTCGGGGCAATTCTTAACGCCCCTGTTATTGTAAAATTAAATAAATTTGTTAATTATGTACGAGTATTATAAGCTTTCTATACCTACCAAAACATACATAGGCTATAAAAAACTTAACCAGAATTATCTAAAATAAATAATAATAATAATAATAATAATAATAATGAAATGTCAAAATTGTATTGAAATCAAAACTGCCCAAAATGAACCCCAAAGCTAAAATTTTCTGTTACTGATCTACCAAGATCAAATTCTCAATACAATAAAATGCAATATATGTATAGGACATTAGAAGAGCCTCTCGGCCAACCTCATGTGCCTAAGAATTTCATCCTGCACATAGGGGGGGATCGAACCCATGACCCCAAGTCTTACAAACTCTTCCAACTAAAGAGTCACGATAAACGACACATATTATATATGTATTATTTTAAATTAGAAAAAACCGTTCACGAAACCCAACCGCTTGCCTCGATTGCGCCTAGGCGGCACGACACGCCATCCCTCATCATCAACTTGAATTTCTTCAGTTTTATTATCTCCTAAACTTTCAGCTTGAGGAGATTCATCAACAATCATATCTGATCCTTCATCATCAGAACTCTCCTCAACCTGTTCAGAAAACCATACAATTTTTGCATTGATGCATTGTTTATGGATAAAAATCAAAATAACAGAAAGTAGTGATTGTCCCAAGCATTAAAAAAAAAGGAAAATTTACATATATACCACTTAATTCCGATGTATTTACATACCTGATACCTAAACTTCAATTTTTACATACATGCTGCTTTACCTACACATGAAAAAAGGACCATCTCTTTGTAAAAGTTAAAATAGTGGTATTTTTTATGTGATATTAAAGATTTTAGTGGTATAAATGTAAAAAATGAAGTTAGATTTTAGATATGTAAATACGAAGAAATTGGGTGGTATGTATGTAAGTGCCTCTTAGAAAAATAGATTTGCAATCACTACTATAATTCCATACTATAATTTTAAAATGGGACATTTACATACAGCTACCTAATTCCTATGTTTTTACATATCTAACACCTAAATTTCATTTTTTATTTTTTATTTTTACATTTATACAACCCAAATCTTTCATATCACATAACGAGTAGCATCATTTTAACTTTAAGAGTGAAGTACATATTTTCGTGCATGGGTATGGTGATATGTATGTAAAAATTGAAGTTTAGGTGTTAGATATGTAAATACATAGGGAATGGAGTGATATAAATATATAATTATTTAATTAACACAGTACAAATCTCAGTATTTACACATATACCACACAATTCTAATGTATTTATACATCTAACATCTAAACTTTCATATTTATATTTACAACACTCAAAATTTTAACATCACATAAAAAATACCGCCATTATTAATGTTTTAAAAGCGAAATACACGTCATGCATAGGTTCATGACACCAAAGTATTATAAGTGCAACTATAAAACTTTAGGTGTTATGTAAATACATAAGAATTATGTGGTATATATGTAAATTCCCTTTAAAAAAAATCAAAATAACCCTTAGAATTGGAATGCATGCCCTTTAAAATTACTATCTCTAGAGGTGTCAAATGAGTTGTTCAAGTAACTTTGAAGTCCTAGGATGGACAATCATAATTTTAACATGAATTTTGTCGTGGACATTTATAATCATTTTGACTCATTTTTCAATATATATCATTTAACCGAAAAACATGATTCGATCATAACTCAAACTTAATTTATAGCACGTGCAATTTAGTGTAAGAACTTTCTCGTATAATTTCAAGAATGTAACGGTAGATGGCGGAGTTACACATTGAGTTTTTTTAATGATAAGCTAGTCCAGGACTCACTAGAGTTAACTAGTTTAAATTGGTATCCATGGGGTGCCAACTCGCCATATAAAGAAAACAAAACTTTACATTACCTTTCTACTTTGAGAGACAGAGGCAGTCGCAGGAGCTGCTTTCCTCAGGTCTGCAATTGATGCGAAATTTCCCCCAAGAAGGTCTTCATGAATAACCATTAATTGCTCGGCAACCTGCATACACATAGCACTCAAATCTTTAATATCACATCAAAAATAGCACTATTACCGCTTTTAAAATGCGAAATACACATTTCAATGCAATATGTATGTAAATACATATTCGCAAGTATCAAGGCACCTTTGTTCTGATAAACCCATGGTGCATTGATACAATACAAGAATTAACATTTTTTCACTTTTTTCCTTCCCCTAATGAAATAAGTTATCATGCAAATACAAGGAAGGTGCAGATGGTGCACATATTTTTCATACAATGATGCACGAATGCTGTGAATCAGCACTTGTTGGCTTGGTGCTCCGGTGCATCTTCAACATCTTTCTCGTCTGCACGTAATAATTTCTCCTCTTACGCCTTCTATTTTGAGGACTCATAACGGAGAAAGTATTAAATGTCTTGAATGCACGAAATATAAGAAGCCGTTTTGATTTCATCTTCTTGCAAGAAAACTAGGTGCATCCTAATGGATATTCACATCATAATTTAGAGACGATAGACGTTAGAGAAAGAATACACTAAACAAATCATTTTCCCCTTAGAGCAAACTATTTTCTAATTTAAATGCATTAATTTTAAGGGGGCATTTACATACATACCACACAATTCCTATGTATTTACGTATGTAATATATAATATTTAATGTTTACATTCATAGCACTCAAAATGTAAACATCATATGAAAAATACCACTTTTACTAATTTTTAAAAGTCAAATGCACCGCTTTATGCATAGATTTATTGCACCAATGTGGTATAAATGTAAATATCATACTAGTATCCATAAAAATTGCATGGTATATATGCAAAACCCCCTTATTTTAAAAACTCTGCAGGAAGAAAAATTCATATCAGTCATCCCTCAATTGGATATTTACATGTAATTTAGCAAATTATAGCACAGATCAGATGAAATGCTTTGGGACGATGCTCCATTATTAGTACGGCTGTCAAAAAAGCTCTTTGTTCGCGCACAACTCGTGTTTGACACATCAATTAGTTTGTGTTTGATTTGTTAGTTGAGAAAGCGAGCTGAACTCAAGCTAATTTGAACAAATAAATTTAAAGTAAACCAAACACAAAAATATTATTCACGAGCTAATTTCGAACGAGCTGAACACGAACAATCTTCAGGCTTGTTCAAGTTCAGCTTGTTTACACTCCTAATTATTAGAACTTGTAAACTTCAGCTAATAATGAAGGGCTAAAACATAAATTATATATATATGTGTGCGTGTGAGAGAGAGAGATTAAAGATTGAAAGAAGGAGCATACCTCTTCAACACTACCATCATCAATTTCTGTATTGAAAGAACTCTCCATATTTTCATCAAGCAATTTCTCCAAATCATCAATATAAAGAGGTTCTGCCAAAAAAAAAAAAAACAAAGAAAATATTGCAAATGCTTTAAAACCATGGCGAAAATTCGGTGGTCATAAAGAATGTAATAGTACATATATATGATTCATTATCATCAGCAATGGAACATAATAAATTGTTTCATCAACATCATTAGTGATATACTAATGATTTAATGATAAAAAAACCCTACATGGTGTTATCAAAAAATAAGCTATGTTCTTCAATATGATATAGTGGCATTAGCTAAATAATGGTGATGATGACAATTCCAATAGCTTTGCTTACAAGCTTTGCAATTTGAATATGAGCTAGATGTCATAAAGCAAGAAGATTTGAGGAAACACAGTGCTTTTGGGCTTTTTATTGTATGATTAACTACAAAAGTTACCCTAAAATGGCTCAAGCATGATTGACATGCATATTAGAAATAAAACATGAGTTTTAATAATACAAATAATATTATTTTTAAATATTTACAATAATTTAAACACAAAACTTGACATGGTGTTACAAGCCACTGCTAAACATATCAAGCCTTTGTCGACTTAGCCGGTTGTTGAGTATTACACCGGTACGTCAAAAGATAGAGATTTTGGCTATAAAATCGTTTTTATTTGTGGCTTCGTTGCAAGCATTAGTGGGTTATCATAAAGGAGCTTTCGGCTCACCATAAACTCTTGTCGGTCATTGTTTATCTATTTTTAGCGAGTAATTGCTAGTTTCATACAACTAATATATATTGATCTTCGCCACATTTAGCCAACTAGGAAAGAACTTGTCAAGATCCTCAATGCATGTTAGAGAAGCATTTTTTTTCTCATTTGTTATGTACTTGTGTTTCACTTTGTATAATATCATTGTGTCTCTTATTGTTCTATAGCCTTAGATTTTCATTCCCTTCACGCTTATCGATTTGCATAAGCTCTCATATTTATGTGGCTATCAAAGTAAAAATCATTGTTTAGGGATTAATCAATCATGATATTATTAATTAGTTAATCTCTCACACATACATTAGCTTATAATCACCATCATAGTCATGTGTTTGACAAGATTAATCTTATGAGCTCGTATACTAAAACAAAGATGTAACATTGGTGTACATATTTTACTTAAATTAACCAAAAAAACTAAGTTTATCATTCATATTGTGTTTAATAGCATATCCCACATTCAATTAGTTTATTTATTAATATAATCTAGGTTTTTAATATAAGTTATTATAAGCTTTAAATCATGCTTAATAACTTAAACTCTTGCCAGTCATCGTTTACATATTATGAGCGAGTAATTGCTAGTTTCATACAGCTAATAAGTATTGATCTTTGCCACATTTAGCCAGCTAGGAATGAACTTGTCAAGATCCTCAATACATGTTAGAGAAGCATTTTTTTTCTCATTTGTTATGTATTTGTGTTTCACTTTGTATAATATCATTGTGTCTCTTATTGTTCTATAGCCTCAGATTTTCATTCCCTTCACGCTTATCGATTTGCATAAGCTCTCATATTTATGTGGTAATCAAAGTAAAAATCATTGTGTTTATCATACATATTGTGTTTAATAGCATATCCCACATTCAATTAGTTTATTTATTAATATAAGCTAGGCTTTTAATATAAGTTATTATAAGCTTTAAATCATGCTTAATAACTTAGACATTCATTTTTATTAGTCTATAAGACTTGTGCATACCTTACTCCTACAAAATTCCATTACTCTATAAGGAGACTGTAAAGAATAAAAACAGAAAAAAAATTGGTTGAATGACAACAAAAATATTATATTGTGTTAGTTAAAAGGGGCTATTAGATACACACCACACAATTCTCATATATTTACATATCTAAAACCAAAACTTTGATTTTTTTACAAGTATACCATCCAAATACATCATATCACATAAAAAATACCACTATTTTAACTTTTAAAAAGTAAAATACACATTTCATGCATAGGTAAGATAGCATACATGTGAAAGCTTACACATTTCATGCATAGGTAAGATAGCATACATGTGAAACTTAAAGCTTACGAGTTAGATATGTAAATACATCAGGATTGAGTGGTATTTATGTAATCTTTCTATTTAAAAATGTCAATTTTTGGCTCACCAATGACTTAAAATAACATTTCTCCAAACCTAGAGAGGAAAGCTAATCTCCCTATGATAGACAACAATCATTAACCTCTGAATTGGGTAAACTGATAGAGTATGATGGCACAAGTTGAATAAGTCACATACATACCACCCAATTCCTATGTATTTACATATCTAACATCTAAACTAAAACTTTTCACATTTATACCATCCAAATCTTTCATCTCACTTAAACAATACAATTATTTTAACTTTTAAGTAGTGAAACACACCTTTTCATGATTAGGTAACATGGAATATATGTAAAAATTGAAGTATAGGTGTTAGATGTAAATACAAAAGAATTGGGTGGAACGTATGTAATCTTCTATTTTAATATTGTACCATTTGACAGACATTTTAATGAAAGGGCATTTACATAGATAACACACAATTCTTATGTATTTACATATCTCAGACCTAAACTTTCATATTTACACACATAGCACTCAAATCTTTAATTTCACAACAAAATAGTAGGCGGGATCGAACCCGTGACCCCAGAGGTCTTACAATCTCTGTTAGCTATGCATGTAAATATGAAAGTTTAGGTGTAAGATGTATAAATACATAAGAGTACATAAGAATTGTCTGCTATCTATGTAAATTTACCTTTAATGAAACTCACATCTCAAAAACATTAAACCAAACAGCCCTTTAATTTCAGCATTCCATAACAAACTGAAATCTTTCAACCAAATTCTAAAAAAAAAATGGTGAAGGAAACAAATCTTTTGGCGGTGAAGAACAATCCCTACCCTGAAAATTAAGCAAACCAAAATATAAGCAAAAGCATTCAATAAAAATCTGATCTTTTCCCCCTCCCAACTTCTCAAAACCCTAAACCTAGAAAAAAATCTCTCGGGGTGGAGAAAAAGCCCTCACCTTTGGACTGAGTGAACCACGAAAAAATGGCGGAAGCAAGTTCCTCAGACTTCCGGCGTGATTCGCGGCCCCCCCATTCATTCTCCACCGCCATTTGCAAAGCCGTCCACCTCGATAGAACGAGAAATATCCCTTCTTCTAGAAACTGCGCCGCCTCTCGGCTCAGAATTCCATTCGATGAATCCATCGCTCTGATTTTCTGCTTCAGGGGCTGTTCGGTGGCAGGATTCAACCTAAATCCTGTCGAGCGGCAAGGAAGAATGGCTTTGCGGCTTTAGTTTCATTTTATTTGATTTATTTTAATTGATTGATAATTAATAATTAATTAATATGTTTAATTATTTAAATATAAATAAATTGTGGTTTAGGACAGAGTTTATTTCTGGAACCGAGTAGTTTTGGAGAAATTATTGCACGAGAAGTCCTGATGAAGTTTTGCTTCAGGAGCTACACGAGTACTTCAATCAAGTCATGTTATGTGTACAAGCACACCCCAATTTAATACGTGTGAATTTGATCGTACGATGGACACTGATTGGAGCCCTGATGCAAAGGGACTCGTGATGCAATAGAGTTCAAATAATATATGTTGCCCTTTGAGCTCATTTTTAAAAACAAATTTAAATGAATTTATATATAACTATTTAATTATTAATTAATATAAAAAAATAAATTTTAAATTTTGATATGCCACCAATAGATTTTCACGAATCTCAATGCAATCTTTTCAACAAAAAAAATTCGAACTTCAATTAAAAGTCATCCAAAGTTTCAATCAAAATTCATTTTAATTATTTCATTAATATGTAATATTAAATATTTAACTCCTAATGATATTTGAAAATCATATGATAGTTTCTGGAGATTTATATGGATTTA